ACTACGACAATTCTATTTTTAGTAGAACAATTCTTGGGCTTGTAGCGCGGCACTGATTGATGTACAGGGGGGGGGGGCATTGTTTAGGTCGCGTTTATTATTGAATATGTAGGGGGTGTCCACCGCTGGGATGAGAGCGACAGCAAAACTCTTTCTTGGAATTGTGAAAAAGCTGCAAAAGGGTTGTAATTAACCTGCTTCGCCTCTCATAATTAACCCATGCATCAGGTTCAGTTTTGTACAGCCGCGCGACTATTATACTTGACAATAATTAATTTGTATGTGTGTAAAAATATTGTTCATTCAGCAGAAGGGGGTGGCTGGCCACCCAATCCACCCCCATGAATCCGCCACTGAGGACATAGGCCGCCTACTTCAGTAGATAAATAAACTCATACAGCTTACTTAAATTTTTATGACAAATGTTTTAATTATTACAAGGCGTAGTATTTATACTACGTCCTTGTCTGTTACGTTGTCAAAATGTGTTTGTGTGTGTATGTGTCTGTTGGTGCTCTTAATAACGCCCCGCCCACACACACACACACACACGCGCACATACACATTCCACATGCGCGCTTAGGGCCCTACTTACTCAGAAGAACACGCACACGCACACGCACACGCACACGCACAGACGCACACGCACACACGCTAGCGCATATATTGTATGCTTCTGTTCATTTAATTTGTTTAACCTTTTTTTTTTAAGTGATGTGCAGGCACGTGACTTTTTGCCTAAAGGCAGCTACGCGCCTGCCATCTATAAGTTTAGGATGTATATAGTAGAAAAGCAAAACGGCAAATCATATGCAACAAATTAATCGTTTTAATACAGAAATGATACCTACATTTTTCTACAGATTCTTCCAGTATTAAATATTTCAGGGGAAACTTTGGAAATCACTTCCGCGCGTACCTGTGCCTAGCATAGCGGACAGCGTGATTTTTTTCCTAGGTTAATCAAGAACATAGGCGCTGCCATTGGTTGATACAAATCACGTGCCTCAAACTCCTGTTTTATGGTGCATTGTGACCCTAACCCTAACTTTAATCCTAACCCTATTTTTAAAAAAATATAAAAAATTTCATTTTTAATTGTTGTAAAAATTAATTGTTGTTATTACATTGTTGTAAATAAATCATGTAAATATTTGCGTTAATTGGAAAAAAAATTGGTAAACGGATAAAGATAGAAAAATACAGAAAACAGGAAAATAATTAAAAAACGGATGGGATTCGATCCACCGACATTTCAGCGTTGACTTTCGTGCTGTACTCGCTCGGCTACTAGAAGGTTATTGGAATTACAGATTTTGGATGTGCTATGAATATGACGACACTGTGACGTCATTGAGCGACGAAACAATCTCAACCAATAGCAGCGCTCACTAGAGCCGTATGTTCTTGATTAACCTAAGAAAAAAATCACGCTAGCGGACAACAGATGCTGATCACTAGACGAATTGACGGCATTACCGCTAGTACAACCAACCACTCTACATTGAACGACTTGCTCGAGTAATTATGGGCATGAAAATGACCAGACTAGATAATGTTTGCGTGAGAAAAATTAATATATTTAATGGCTATAACATTTTGAGCGAAGAACGAGTTGAAGTTCTGTGAATGATAAACGTAGCGTCGACCTCGTAGATCTACACGCTGTGGTAATAAGTATAGGTATAATCATGACGACTGCAGTACACGTGATTGGGACATTTCACATGTAACAACAATCACAAGCTCAACACGAAAACTATGTGCAATGTTCTTTTTCATTTATATCTATGTTTATTAGGAGTAACATACGATGGCAAAGAGAGGAGGACAGTAAACATAAGCCGACACGTGACATAGTTGGCTGTAGCCTTATTCCTTGCACATGTCCGCATGCTTGTGAGATTAATACGATATTACATATGAAAACCTCGCGCGTAATAAGTGTATGTAGCTGATACATCCCTACCGTACGTACCCAATAGAATGAGCTGGCATGATATAGAACGCCTCATGTCTACTTCTCACACACGACAAATGCTGCCACTTGAGTTTCCTGACACACAGACTCCACGTTTAAAACACACCGAGTTTCCGCTCGTACAGACAACATGGTATAAATAGCCAAAAGAATTTTATGTACATTTTGTGCAACTTAAATATGTGCAAATAATAAACTTAACATGTAGTGAAAGAAGATCGATAAGACGGATTGTTTAATTTTTGCTAGCGGAGGTGGCGCCATTGGAATCTGCAGTGCAGATGACAGGGGGCTGCATCTCAACCGCAAAAGGTGCTGTGACAAGTGAACAATAGCCACAAACAAAACCCTTCAGCAGTAATTCCTGCTGCGTGCTCCAATCATCAGGCGCAACACGCACAGTACTAACGAGACGATAAAACAATGTTTTATTACTCCTGTAGTACACAGCAACCTGCGAAGCTAGCTAGCAAATCTAGGTGCGTTAGAGTCCAGGTGATGGACCCTCTCACCAGAGAGGCTCAGGCTTTCCTCTCCGGTGGTACCCCTCGCGCGCCAACTCAGTGTGTGGTAGCAGGTGGAGGAACTGGCGGCACGCTGTGCCAATGAATGAATATAAACACTATTGCACGGAGTGAAGACACGGCCATTGTCACTGCAGGCTAACGTATTCCATGCCGGAGTATATACGCGCACAACCCAGCAGCAATCGAATTGCGTCCAAGCATACGTGACCGGCAGGCAAAACGGACTGGCCAAAAGCAAAGATGGTGGTGTTGCAGTTTTGCCCGCCGGCGCCACCTGGAGGCTACAACCTGAAACTCGCGTAAAATCAAAACTGAATAGATGTCTAAAATGCACGCCGAGTTTTTAAAAGGAACCCGATACAGCATCGCTATCTGCGGAAATCACGTAGTTGGGCAGCCATGTTCAAGCACACACAGTTACAGACCCACAATGCACGAGTGTGATAGCTAGACGGACAGTATATGACTCACAACAAAGTATACATTGCCGCACTGGAAACAAAGGCATATGTGAACACTACCCAACTACCACCTGCATTATGTACACCTGCTCTTCAATGATACATACTCGTGCAGCATTCTCTCGTCAAATTCGTACAACGAGAATATAGAAAACTGAACAATAGCATATACCTGTATATATATATATATAAATATATACATATAAATATATATATATATATATATATACGCTACATATACACAGCACATTAATATGCCACGAAAAAAACGGCTTCAAGACTCTCAGAATTATGAGATGGGGGCCAGGTTAAAAGTTTAGCCTGCCTATGACATCATCGTTCGCGGGTCATGTTCGTCCTTGTTCGCGTCGTGCGGCTGCGGGTAGCACGCTTCTCCGCCAGCCCACCAGAGTGCAGCACCCATGCTCGCGCAACTCTCGGGAGGAGAACGGGTGAAAATAAACTGGGTCGCACACCGTACGTTCCACTAGCCGCGGCGCAGTGGGCAGCAGACTCCAATCGCTGGGGTACGTGTCTCGCCGGGAGATCAAGACTAGAAGACTTGGGGGGGGACTCTTGTCACGTTACGACGGCGCCCCCTCAACCCAATGCAAGCCAGTCACCGGGTGGCGATAAACCTCACGGCCACTCGATCGCTTGGCATCGTCATAGCGTCCCCAAGACGGACCCTGCTGAACAAACGGTTACGAAAGAGGTCCTTCATAGGGTGGTCAAGTCACCACGAGTCTGCCCCGCATTCGCGTGACCACGTACTTGTCTCGCCTAGCAGCTGGTGGTAGTACGTCTACTGAGCGACCCCGTTTAGTCACACTGTGGGCTTCCTCCTGGCTACTTCCCCTGCGAATGAGTAGCTAGCACACGAGGTCGTGGCGAACGTCAAGGCGTTCGCCACGTCGTTCTGTCAACGCTGCGGTCACACTAGATCAGTCGGTCATATTCGGGTTTCCACAATCCACACCCGACATTCTTTGTGGAGGACATAGTAATGATTAATATATATCGAGCGGTGCTAATATCGATACGAATTCACACGAAAAGCATCTGCGTGGCACGCTAGCGTCAGATACTCGACTTACTAGTGCCAGACTCGACGTCTGCAAGGGTCTTGTAGTTTTCGTGTACACGCAAGAGAGACAGGTAAAACTCTCAGGACCGTCCTTCAGTATTCACCAGTGCTAGATGTTAGTTCCGCATCTCTCGTTCCAGCATTCTGTAGCTGATGTACGTTGTCTCGTAACATCCATACACAAGTACCAGGCTCAAGTCACCTACACTTGCTGGCATTAGTCAATATATACGAGTATATGTATATCTATATGTGTATATATATATAAATATATATCAAGATTACATAATAGGAGAAGAGTATGACACCGTTTTAACAGCGTTTTGCATAGTTTTCAACTTGTAAATATTCTATCAATATGTGAATAAATATAGTCAAACTTTACCTTGTTTTCGTCTATGATTCTCCCTTAATCATATGACACCACCAATTTACCTGAAAATCGTATGTGTTCTTCAAAAAAGTACTTTGAATACGACACGGTTTCGCACAGTTTTCACGAATGGACGCATGTTTTCGGCCAAAGTTTGATATGCGGCGGCAGCACCAGGTTGTAACCAAGATACAAGATAGAGACAATAGAACACTAATCCCATAATAAACTTTGGCCGAAAACATGCGTCCATGATCCATCTGTGAAAACTGTTTGAAACCGTGTCGTATTCAAAGACCTTTTTTGAAGAACACATACGATTTTCAGGTAAATTGGCGGTGTCATATGATTAAGGGAGAATCATAGACGAAAACAAGGTAAAGTTTGAATATATTTATTCACATATTGATAGAATATTTACAAGTTGAAAACTATGCAAAACGCTGTTAAAACGGTGTCATACTCTTCTCCTATTATGTACTCTTGATATATATATATATATACATATATATGCTTTGATCCAAACTTGCTCTCAGACTTGTAGTATTAAAGTAGTACTCCTTACTTTATTCCCCCTTACCGTGCATTCTACTTGTCAAGTGTCTTTGTATGGAAGTGAGGTTAATGTGAACACGTCAACTTATGCTTAAAACATGCACGCACACACATGCTGAGCAAGTAATACAGAATACTGTACCCTGATCACACTTCTCACGCTAGCCTTGTTCACTGCTATGACTCCCTAGCCTGATCAAGTCTACCTTCCAACAGTCGGCGCCAATAAACACTTGAACATCTTCTCAGGACAAGCTCAGGAATGCAGAAAATATCTGCCATGCGGTCAGTCATTGCAGCACCAACAAAAACCAGCTGCGCACTTTAAAGAGAGGCACATTGAATTCTCGATAAGTCGCACGGGTACTTTGTCGTGCAGTAGTTACGCATTCGATATAATCCATAACACTCGCATTAAAATTACCGATAATCCCTCGCGTCACGTTAGAGCATCTCTTTTTAGGAATAAAAAAAGCAAGCAAATACTTCCACATCGTTGCATAGATTATATATCAAGCAATCAGCAAAAACGCATGCACTTTACGAACTAAACACATCCAAAATTAAACGTCACGCGGTCGTCTGATTTCTCCGTACTTCCAGGTAAATGACAAAGAAGATAGGGCCAGGAGGTGAGATCACACAACATTCCACGCATTTACCACACCCTGCCACTTCATATTCTTTGTGTTCTCATCTCTCGCTCCCTCTCTCCCTCTCCCTCTCAATCACTCTCTCTCTCTCTCTCCCTCTCTCTTGTCAGTTGGGATAGTCAAGTCTCGTCGTCCAAATAGGGTGTCCTGATCAACAATGGGGTATGACTCAGCAGGCTTGTACGATCACATGACAGGTGGCAGTGTCGCGATTGGCCAGCGAGGCCCGCTGGTCGCGCGCCCTGCACTGACATGCAATCCCACAATCCTGCTGGCGATGAGGGAAACAAACGCCGCGGCGGCGGCGGCGGTGTCGCCCTCCATCGACCTTGACCTCCTGCGGGTCGTTGCCGCGGCAACCTATGGCCACGCGTTCGGTCGCGGCGCTGTCTCCTCCATCACCTCGGCTCTGCCGTTCGCGCCGCCCTCCCTGAAGGGGGCGCCGCTCTTGTACTTGCTGGCGCGGTGCGCGAAGTTTCCTCGCCTGGCGCCCCTGCCGCCGCCGTTGTCGTGCCAGTCGTTGCTGTTGCCGCTGCTGTTGTTGTTATTGCTGTTTTCCGCAGCGCCGTTGACGGTGACCTCGTCCGGCCAGCTGGTGGTGTCCTCTGCAGGCGCGGTGCCGGCGGCGGCGGCCGTAGCCTCCTCTTCTCCCTTCGCCTTGCGGTTCTTGCGTCGCTTGCGCTTACGCTGCGCCTTAGAGCCGTCCAAGGACGACACGCTCTCTACGCAGCAACCAACAAGCAACGCGGTTACAAATACGCGACGACGAGGAGGGGGGAAACGCGCGCGTCGAGCAATAATGGGCTCTCGTACACGATTTCACGCGCGCAGCACGCCTAGACCGACCGCTACGGAATGCAAGCACGTCAACGACACGTGGATATCAGCATATCTCTCTCTCTCTCTCTCTCAATGTGGATAACACCGTGCAGACGACGCGCGCGCGTTTAGAACGAGCGAGAACTTCTAGCTGTGAAACTGTGTGCTCCTCGGCATTAGACACTCCACACTACCTCTGTCCATACTGTTCACGCTCGACACCTCCTGACTGTCCAGCACCGTGTCGTCCTCGTCCGTGACCCGGCGCCTGGGGTCGCCGCCGCGCCCGCGACCCCTCGGCTCCCCTGACGCTCCCTCCCGCTCGGGCGACCGGTTTCTCGAAGCTGCAAAACAAAAGAACGCACGTTATGACGACCGCCGCTTGTTTGTTTGTTTTTCGCGATCGTTTCCCACGCATTGATATTTTCGCAGCTGCCGTTTTCAGTTTGTGTCGAGGAAATTGCCGATGCACTTCTCTAAAGTTTGTAACAATAAAAAGCCGCGCGGAATCGCATGTTGTGGCGTGAGTTATCCTTGTTTGTTTTCGTTGCTACCAGACACGGAATTGAATTTCGTCAATTTATTTTCCCAATACAAAATAAGTGCTTGTTCAGTGACGATTGATTATTTAAACCACTGATCAAATAGGAAAGGAAACGTATTCTACAGGCCTATTCACACAACCCACATAATACTAACACAGCTCGTGATATAAATTGTTGACATCACGCCATTTTACTAAGTGATTTATTTAAACATTTTAAGAGAGTAATTTTTAGTCATTAGACATTTTAATAGTAAAATAGTAATCATTGTACCTCATAACTGCTTAAGAGCACCGACTCTAGGTGTGTAACTACGGTAAGGCAGTCAACCTATTCCGAATGCATAAGGTGAATGCGTAGTGTTAGTCAATCTCACTCTTAATGCCAACCAGTGATGCCAGCTAGGTTTAACGGACTGATAGAGGTTAGTCTCCAGTGTTTTAGTGTAATCCTACAAGGTTAATGTCCTAGCTAGCAAGTTCCATCATGCAGGCCTGAGTAGCAAGCACAGGCAACCTCCATCACGTTACAGCCTCACAAAACACACTACACGAGCAAAAATATATTGCATGTTGCAACACACTCGCCACGCAAAGCAGCGCACTGCACTAAGCCACTACCCACCTGTGGCCGATTTGCATTTTACAAACACGACATAATAATATGGGCGAGTCCACGTCAACGTAACGGATGCCATCTAAAATACTGACGTGTTTCGTGTAGCGGGTGTGATTAAATGTCAGTGGTTAATGGTTGGCTGAGCCATGCGCAACATTCTAGGGAGATATGCTCTAACATGCCTGCAGAATAACCCGTTCTAGACTGATACTAGTTGTCTGCCCGTTTTCGGACGTGTGATAATGGTAATTTGCACAGGCAACAGCGATAGATATAATGAGCCAATGACAAGACGATGACGACGGTAATTTGGGATGATGACGACGCTAATTTGTGATGACGACGATGGTAATTTGTGATGACGACGACGCTAATTTGTGATGACGACAACGCTAATTTGTGATGACGACAACGCTAATTTGTGATGACGACAATGCTAATTTGTGATGACGACGATGGTAATTTGTGGTGATGACGACGGTGACAAAGCCGATGTGTCGCCGACGTATCTATCTCAACAATCTGTCTCGCAGCCTTCTAACAAGCGACAACCAACGCTCAACGACGTTTGCCTCTTCTTCGATCCACCGATCGCCATGCATTGTTAACTCGACCAATAATCCAGCGGCTTACGAAGCAGCCAGCCACACGATCGCAGAACACAAACGAGGATGGCTAGCACTGATAGCCCACTTACTGAGGTCGCACGGCACACGCATGCACTCTCAATCCGACCAATCGCCGAAAACGGCTTAGTTCCGTGCACGCTCTCTCGACAAGATGCACAACCTAGGTAATGATGCAGCGAGCCACTAGATGGTAGCACTGGTGGCAGATTGACGAGCAGCTCGACGAGGGAGGGAGTACGGCATGCTGTCGGGCCGGTGCACACACACACGCACGCACGCGAGCGAGAGAGCAGACGCCACGCCTCATGCTGGCTAGCTAACCGTCACCAGAAGACACCTGCCTAGTTCTATCCAATCAGCCAGCGTTGCCAGTGGGTTACCTTCGGAACTGGACGGGAAGGAAGGGCGTCCGCCGCCCTGACCCCGGCCCCGCTGGTAGCGCCCCCTGGACGCACCGCGGCCGCGACGCGGGAAGCCATTGTGACCTTCGCCTTGGTCCCAGTCGCTCACCGACTCCTCACCACTAGCGGTACCTGGTGGGGGAAATTGAAAGCAAATTCAGTAAGTGTAATATGCAGTCATAGAGGTTTAAGAAATCAAATAAATAAATTCAGTCGCAGGGTGATGTAGGTTGATAATAAAAAATAAATTAATGTAATTGTAGGGTAATATGCATTAGAAAATTTAAAAAAATATATAATCATGAGACGATATAGGTTAGCGATTAAGAAATTGGCAGTCATGGCAAATTTGACACGACAGCAAGAACAAGTCCTTTAATTATTCTCAGATTGCAAAGACGCACGTAATAATCCACTAAATTTTATAGAACGCTCTTTCGAACGTGCATCGTGTGTCCACTGCTGTGCGCATGAGAAGTCACCGTGATACCTGAGCGATCACCGTTGCCATAGGAACCACGGCCCCGGCCACGTCCCCCGCGAAATCCTCCGCCCCTGCCACGACCACGACCTCGAAAACTCTCATCCTGGGAGTCGTAACCTCTGCAAAAAAAAACATCATAGTATAACACAACACCCGTCATAGTCATACATATAATACCATCAACTATCACGCTATCATAGTATAACACAACACCCGTCATAGTCATACATATAATACCATCAACTGTCACGCTATCATAGTATAACACAACACCCGTCATAGTCATACATATAATACCATCAACTGTCACGCTATCCTAGATCACACAACAATGCATCATAGTTACTGACATATAATACATTCAACTGTCATTAGTATAAACAGTAGGAACTCCATCATAAGTCATACATATAATACCAATCAACTGTCACGGCTATCATAGTATAACCCAAACATGCTCCAGTCCCATGACGGGATAGAATAGAGGATCAACTTTCACGCTATCAGATAGTAAGACACAACACCCGTCACTGTCATAATATAATACATCATATGTCGACGCTATCACTAAGTATAGACCAACATCCATCATAGTCATCATAAATCGATCCAACTTATCATAGTATAACACAGACACCGTCATATGTCCCGTACATATATACATCAGAATGTCACGCTATCTAGTATCCACACATCCATCATAGTCAACCAATATAATACATCACATACACCGCTATCATAGTATAAGCACAAACACCGTGCCGCGAGGTAGTCATGACAATATAACCATCGAACTGTCAACGTATCATAAAGTTAATACACAACAACGGACGTCATAAGTCCATACATTATAATACCATCAACTGTCACGGTATCCATAGCTATACACCCAACACCCGCATATCAGTACATATTAAATCACCTATCAAGTATACACAACAGCCGTCATAGTATACATAGTAACCATCAACTGTTCACGCTATGCGTAGTAACACAACACCCGTCCTAGTCATACAGATACTATCATATTCCATCAACTGTCCGCTACTCATAGTATAACACAACACCGTCATAAGTCACTCATCTAAGTACCTCAACTATCACGCTATCATATGTAATAGACACCACCCGATCCCATAACGTCATACATATAATACATAAGCTGTCACGCCTATCATCAGTTATACACCACCCACACACCGTCATAGGTCATTACATATAATACATCAATCTTTGTCAGCTATCATAGTATAACACAACCCCCTACACCCGCTCATAGTGCATACATATACTCAATCAACTGTCATGCTCTATCGATAGATAACAAACACCGTCATTATGTCATATGATACTATAATTGGCTGATCTTGTGTGTGTGGTGTGTGTGTGGTGTTTGTTTTGTTTCGCTTTTGCCTGAGTTTGTTCACTCAAATGGCGCTAAACTGCGATGATATTCAGAAAGCTGTCTGGGAGATGGTTTTTGGCTGAGAAAAAAATTTTTTAAGAAATGGTTTTAAGTATTACGATTGAGCAAGAAATTCGAAAAAACTGCTTTCGTCAATAGATGGAGTGCGTATCAGCAGACTCCACATCACATACTGGGAATTACACTGCGTTCTTGACTGCCGCCGTATGAGCAATATTTTCAGAATGACCGAACTGTCGTGGGAGAGTGGTTCTGGCTCAAACACAATTATTTCCTTAATAGATCGGTCTACGTACTCAGATCCCCCCCCCCCTAACTGCAGATTCCCCCCTGCTCACTCTGGCTGTTGAGACGTAACAACCGTACTGACACAGTTAGTCAGTAGCTGTTCCAAGTGTCTGTTGTACCGCAGTGGCAAGTGTTTTCTTTTCAGTGACATGAAATATTTACTTTATGTCGTGGTGTCACGTTTACATGGAGTTTTTAATTTATTAAAAATAAGAAACATAATGCTGGTTCTACGGGTATACTTTTTCTGCTAGTACATATAACTACCATCAACTGTCACGCTATCATAGTAATACACAACATGCATCATAGTTAGTACATATAATACATCCATGTCACGACTATCATGAGTATAACCAACACCGTCATAGTCCATAAATATATAACTATCAATCTGTTCCACGCTATCAAGTATCAACCAACCGTCATAGTCATACATATATACCATCATGGTCGCTATCATAGTATTAGTATAACACAACACCGTCATAGTCATACATATAATACTATCAACTGTCACGCTAATCCGATCAGATAGACCAGGCTACAGAGGTGACCCGTCATAGTCATATACATTATAATACCATCAACCTGTCCACGCTATCATGTATAAACACGACATGCATCATAGTTTTTATACATATAATACCGATCAACTGTCACGCTATCATAGTAAAACCAACACCGTCATAGTCATACATCATCCATCACTTATCATAGTATAACCAAACACGCCCGTCATAGTATACATATAATACCCATCAACCTGTCCAAGCTATCATAGTATTAACACAAACATGCATAGTCTACCACCTAATCCGATCCAACCTGCTCACGCCTCACTCCCCATAGCTCTAAACCCCCATGGCATTCATCAGCTTTATACATATAATCCATCAACCGGTCTACGCTATCCATAGTCACTAACACAAACGTCCTAGTCATAGATACCTAATACCATCAAACTGTCAGCTATCATAGTAATAACACGGGACACCGTCTGTCATCATATAAAAACCCATCAACTGTCACGCCTATCATAGTTAACACAACACTCGTCAATAGCTCATACATATAATACCATCAACTATAAGTATAAACACACCGTCATAGTCATACATATACATCATCAACTGGTCACTGCATTATAGTTATATTACCACAACACCGCTCATAGTCATACATATAATAACGATCACTGTCAGCTATCATAGTATAACAACTGACACCGCACTAGTCATACAATATAATACCCTCAAGATCAAGTATAACACGAACACAGCCCGTCATTAGTCAGTACATTATAATACATCAACTGTCAGCTCGATAGTAATAGCAAAAAAACAACAACACGGTCCCATCGATACATATAATACATCAACTATCATAGTATTACACACCACGTCCCAGTCATACAATAATACCATCAACTGTCAGGCGTAATCATAGTAATAAAACAACACCGGTCATAGTCATACATATAATCCATCAATGTCACGCTTATCATAGTATATACAACTAACACCCGCATAGTCATACTATAATACCATCCACGTCGACGTGCTTATCATAGTATAACACAACACCCGTCATAGTCTACAATAATGAAGCCATCAACCCTGGTCCCAGCTATCATAGTATAACACAAACCCCGTCTAAGTCATACATATTAATGACATCAACTGTATCACGCATATCCGATAGTATTACACCATAACACCCGTCATAGTCATACATATAATACATCAACTGTCACGGCATCGATGTAATTAACACAACAACCCGTCATAGTCATCCATATAATACATCACCTGTCCACGCGATCATAGTCTAACACAACACCCGTCATATCATACATATAATACCATCAACTTGTCACGCTATCATAGTATAACACAAACCCGTCATGTCATCATATAATACTCATCAAACTGTGCACGATAGTCATAGTATACACACGAAGCACCCGTCATAGTCATACCATATAATAACCCATCAAGCTGTCACGCTATCGATAGTATAACACAGACACTCCGTCATACGCATACGATATAATACCATAACTGTCACGGCTATGATAGTACTAACACAACCACATTCCCGGTAGAGTGCATACATATAATAGCCATCAACTGTCCACCTATCATAGTATACACACACATGCATCATAGTTCTACATATATACATCAACTGTCAACGCGCTATCAATAGTATAACACACACCGTCATAGTCTACATAAATACCATGAACCTGTCAGCTACATAGTATAACAACACACCGTCATAGCCAATACGCTATAATAGGCATCAACTGTCACGCTATCATAGTATACACAAGCG